GGGTAAACACAGGATACGTCCAACATGTCAGACGGAGAGGAATGCAAGTTGGCTAACGTCTTGTCAGATAGATTTTCATCAGCAGCAGAGACTGTTTAATAATGAAGACAACAACTCCCATGATCCCATGCCATTTCACGACTTATGAAACCACGTCTTTGGTTGTTATTTTGTTGTAAGAGACCCCCTAGTGGCAGAAAATTAAATACTGTACATTTAACTTGGAAATAAAGTGAATATGTGCAATTTTAAAAATGTTTCACTAACATTTAACATGAGAAACAGAATTTCATGTCTTTATTTTGAGACCATGGTAAAGTTTTTGAGCTCACTGGATGTGATGTTGCATTGTCTTAATGCAAAGTATGTATTCATCCATCTGTACACTCAGTGAGCCCCGTTCTTTGTCGTTCCAGATAATGAAATCTCAACTAATTGTTGGTTTTTGCAACCGATTTGAATACAGTTTGCCCGAGCGTCGGATGGGAACCATGCCTCTGAGTGGTTGCGTGTGTGTGTGTTGTGACGGCAGCGCAGACTGCAGACAGGCGGACAGTAGTGTGTTGTTTTGCTGAGATGATGATGCCACCATCTATTCAGTAGAGCAGGGCTCACTGCCAGTGACAGTGTCAGGCCTGAAGCCATTGTTCTGGATTTCTAACCGTCGCTGAATGGAGGTAGAGCTCGTCACTTTCAGCTTCTTGGCCTTACCGAGACATACTGTACATACAGAATTAAACTTTAATTTGCTGAATCACAATAATAGGACTCAACCAAGTTTGAAAATGCCTCATGACAGACATGTGCTGACAATTTCAACAATTAAAGAGCATATTAAGTACAATTACATGTATGAATAGCATGAAAGAAATCTTATTCAGTTTTGTGTGCAATGATTAAGATAAATCTAATGTTTCTCTAAATAAATAGAAAATTGATAAATAAATTTATCATAATCCTTCACAGCCTTATGATGTAACTTCATGTAAGATAATTTTTCCCTGAATCTGATCCCTGAAACGCGTCTCAT